TGGAAGGATGTGAAGGTAGTATATTTTTGTCCAAAAATTTAAATTCTAAAATTGTGTTATTATTATTTAAACCTTGAAATTGTGTTTTATAGGACAATTTGAATATATGTCCAGGGGAGTAGAAGCCAATCTGCATGAAAAACTGTAACAGCATATGGAAGGATCACAAGAACAAGATTAAGGTTAAGTATTTCAAGCCTAGAAGTGAAGATCGTAATCTGAAGGATGATGTTCCTTTGCACATTGTGCCAAGCCAGTGGGAAGAATTTGTGGAGTATTGGCGTACTTCCGATGCTGAGGTATACAAATAAGTTATATGTATGATATGTAAACATACAAATCATATTTATATACTTACATTTGTTGAACCTATTATAGAAAATTGCAACTAGGAATGCTAAAAATCGGCGAGCTTACGGCATAGCTCATACCACAGGGCAATTCCGATCTCCTCAGATACGGCATGAGGTTTATATTTTACTGTTTTATTTTTGTATATAAATAAACATTGTATATTTACAAATTATTTGGATTCTAATTTTCATATTTCTAAAAAAATGTAGATGACCAATAAGGGGGAGTCTACTGATAAGATGAATGTTTGGCTTATGACACGTAGAGCAGATGACCCAGAGGTTATCCAGACCTTGGTAGTTTCCAAAGACCTTTGATTGTATTTAAAGTTTATTTTTTATTTTTTGTGTTAACTATCTTAATTTGGCATATACTTGTATTTCTTATTCAATACAGGATGAGTTTAATGGCCAACTCTCTATGCTACCTGAGGATTGTCGGACTTTGGAGGCTAGGAATGCCATTTTCCATGAGTTGATAGGTCATGACAATCATGGATATTGTCGCACATACGGGAGAACTGTGCCTCGGAGAGTAGTGTATAAAGATGGCGCAGGGCCATCACAGTCAGCACCCCAGCCATCGACTATTGTTCAGATCACCCAGCAGGTTCGTGTGGAGCTAAGGGATGAGTTGAGGGAGGAGCTGAGGGAGGAGATGAGAGCAGAGTTCTCTACACATTTACAACAGCTGAGAGCTGAGATGATGGCCTTTGTGTCACAAGGGGCAAGTGTGGATCCTAACAGACAGGTTCGATATAAATTAAATTGTTCGATAGTTAAATTGTCACACAACATTATGTATAAAAGATTAACACATTATGCGTTGACTATCATAGGCTCATGATGCATCGAGTGGCCACCGGGCATTTAGGGAATCTACAGAAGACGAGAATCCATATACACCACCACCAGAAGATCAGGTATAAAATGTAACATTACATTCTAAGCTAAAATGAATTCGAAGTGTTAACGTCCCAAAATCACCAAAAGGGGTCGGTTTAGCACGGAACTTGGCACACACGACCGCCTAGGCACGAGAGACTTGTGGGAGAAGACGGGACTCTAATCGGTTTCCCAGTTTGGGAGTTAGAGCCATATTTCGGTTTAGGCAAACTAGTTCCTTAAGAAACTTAAATTCGAGGTGTTGACAACCCAAAATCACCAAATGGGGTCGGATTGGCACGAAACTTGGCAGACACGACCGCCTAGGCACGAGAGACTTGTGGGAGAAGACGAGACTCCAATCGGTTTCCCGGTTTGGGCGTTAGAGCCATATTTCGGTTTAGGTAAACTAGTTCCTTAAAAAACTTAAATTCGAGGTGTTAACACCCCAAAATCACCAAATGGGGTTGGATTGGCACGAAACTTGGGCACACACGACTGCCTAGGCACGAGAGACTTGTGGGAGAAGACGAGACTCCAATCGATTTCCCGGTTTGGGAGTTAGAGCCGTATTTTGGTCTAGGCAAATTAGTTCCTTAAGAAACTTAAATTCGAGGTGTTTGGTGTTGACGCTCCAAAATCACCAAAAGGGGTCGGTTGGCACGAAACTTGGGCACACACGACCGCCTAGGCATGAGAGACTTGTGGGAGAACACGGCACTCTAATCGGTTTCCCGGTTTGTGAGTTAGAGCCGTATTTCGGTGTAGGCAAACTAGTTCCTTAAGAAACTTGAATTCGTGGTGTTGACGCTCCAAAATCACCAAAAGGGGTCGGTTTAGCACGAAACTTGGCACACATGATCGCCCAGGCACGAGAGACTTGTGGGAGAAGATGAGACTCGAATCGGGTTTCCGGTTTGGGAGTTAGGGTCGGATTTCTATCTAGCCAAAATTATTTACTTAACTATCTTTGTAATTATATAGTAATTAATTTTTTATGTTTTTTTGTAATTAAAATATTAATACATAATTATATTGTCATTAATTATTTTTATTTTTTATTTTCAGATATTTCCTGAGTAGCAGTTTGCTTCTTGTGGAATGCAGCCGTGTGAAGATTGCGACAAACTTTTGTTTATGAAGAAAACTTTTATTTTTGATTTACGTTATTTAGATTTGTGAACAACATTATGTATGTATTATGCAAAATTATGTGGTTGGATAATTTTGATGATGTGTTGTTATGAATGGAAAAGTACTTTAATTATGGATGAAATTTTATTTATATACAGGAATTTTTATATTATTATATAGTTATCGATTTTTTTTAGCTATTTTTATTTAATACAGGTAATTTGCATATTTTTAATAAATTTATTGCTGCATTTTTTGTTGGAACCAGGTTTTTTGCGACGGTAGCGTAGCCGTCGCCAATGATGTTGGCAATATGAACAAAAATCCTTTAGCGACGGTACTTTCACCGTCGCAAATAACAGTATTAACGACAGTATTAAACTTATAGCAATCCCGGGTTTACCCTTGTTATACCGTGATCCGGACATGTGTCCGTGGATGTTGGTAGTTGTTTATTATTTTGTTTACATCCTTTTTCTTTGTATTTGAGTTATAGGATGTGTTGAGCGGGTTTGTTACAGGTTGGTTGAGTTTAGAAACCAAAACTAGTTGCCCAGATTTTTGGCCTGTACGCTCGAGCGGAGGTGTTGGCGCTCGAGCGTAGATTACATCCATCCAGTATCTTGTTGTGCAGTGTTGTGAGCTCGAGCGTAGGGTTGGGAGCTCGAGCGGAGGCTTTTGTGCAACTCCTCATAACTTGTGTGTCGACGGTATCATTTTCGGTTCTTCTTAATGGAAAGCCTTCAAGATTGTTTCGTCCAACACGGGGGCTCTGACAGGGGATCCCCTTTCGCCATACTTGTTCACTATTTGTGCGGAAGGGATGTCGGCGCTTCTCACACATGCTATGGCAAATAACCAGTTGTTGGGGATTTCTCTTTGTCGCAGTAGCCCACGATTATCGCATTTGTCTTTTGCTGATGATAGTCTTCTGTTTGCGGCTGCCACTGAAGATGAAGCGGGGGTGTTGCGAGATGTCCTTCAAATATATGAGCAAGCATCGGGGCAGAAAATTAATTTCCAAAAATCTACTGTTTGTTTCAGCAAAAATACGGACTTGGTTACCCAGCAGGTCACATCAATTCTTGGGGTGGGTTCTATGGCGACGTACGGGAAGTACTTGGGGTTACCGTATTGTGTGGGCCACTCTAAACGATCCGTTTTGGGGTTTGTCAAAGAGCGAGTATGGCATCGTTTGAATGGGTGGAAGGAGAAATTACTATCCGTTGTGGGTCGCGAGGTCCTTATTAAGTCTGTTGCTCAAGCACTCCCTACTTACATTATGTCCTGTTTTTGACTACCTGCTAGTTTGTGCCATGAAATTGACTCAATGGTGTTCAATTATTGGTGGGGACAAAAGGAGGAAGCCCGTAAAATTCACTGGACTAACTGGAAGCATTTGTGCAAATCTAAATTGCGTGGAGGGATGGGTTTTCGCTGCCTTAATGAATTTAATACAGCTATGTTGGCCAAACAATGTTGGCGACTTGTGCAACAGCCTCACTCGTTGATTGCAAGGGTGTTAAAAGCCAAGTATTTTCCTCACACTTCGTTTCTTGATGTGTTGCTTGGAAACAGCCCATCCTTCACCTGGAGGAGTATAGTCAGCTCTCGAAGCTTACTAAATGCCGGACTACGATGGCGAGTTGGGAATGGTGCGAGCATTTCGGTTAAGGATGACAAATGGGTTCCACGGCCTCACTTACTTGGTTACTTCTTCAATAGGAATTGACGGCCACATCCAAAGGAAACTGAGGTGATTTCCAGAGTTGGTCCGTAAAGCTTGTCATCATTAGAATGCCAAGACGCATATTATACCTATTTAGGACCAAGCTATTAAATTTGCTCCCGGGAAGAGCTTCATGGACCTAACAATAATAGTGATAACAACAATTAATGTACTAAGTGCGATTAAGTAGGCCAACAAATATGAATAGTGGAGAAACAATAAGGAGAGCTTATATCACAGAAACATATTAATTTTTTTAATTAAAATATATAATTAACAAATGGAATTTTAATTTTAATATTTCAAATAAATTTTTTATAATCTAATTTAATCTTTAAAAAAATTACTATCTATTATAATGATTTATAGCATTATGCATGCATATTATATAAAGAAGGGTGGTGTTATATATCTACTATATCAATTAGTATTATGTTATTATTATTAAATTTCATTTAACATTTAATTATAAATATTTAATACTTATGTCTTGGAATTCTAATGAATGAAAGGAATGCGGTTAGTTTAAATGTAAATGCATGTCTTATCTGATGGGTTTATTGTTATTATTTTGAGGGCGTTACAAAACTCGTCGCAAATAACCCTTTTTAGCGACGGTATTTTTACCGTCTCACATAAACCCTTTTGCGACGGTATTTTCCCGTCACAAATAACCATTTTTAGCGACGGTATTTTAGTACCGTCTCAAAGTCTGCAGATTTTTACACATTAATTGCGACAGTATTTTGCCGTCGCTAAAGGAATTTTTGCCGTCGCCAATATTTTGCGACGGCATTTACCGTCGCTAAAGACCTTTAGCAACCCCATTTTTTGCGACCCCCCTATTACCGTCGCTAAAAGCTATTTACCGTCACAAAAAAGCTTTTGAGACGGCTTCCTTGGTATTGGCGACGATATTTTACCGTCGCAAAAAAGTGAATTTTTTGTAGTGTTTACTCTTTCTCTAATTATTTTCACTTCTTTCCGCTTATTTATAATGTGGGTGCAATGTGTATTTGGGTTGAAGGATCTATCTAGAAGATTATCTGTATAAAAAGTTATATTTCTTAAAATTAATAATTATATTTTTCTTTTAAAAAACAAATAATTTATTCTCAAAATCATATTCTCTATTCATATTTTTGAAAGTAAATATAATTTGATCATATAATTATCCATATTTTATCAATTTAATTTTTTATATAAATTATCTTTGCGACATGATGTACTTCATATTATTAAAATAAATTATCTGTCGGGCCAAACAAATTGCAGAACACCCTATTGTGACAATCTCATTAAAAAGAATAAAGATAAAAATGGCACAAAAGACTGAAAGAGTGACTTTCTTGGCTCATAGAAAAATATAAATGTGACAATAGTTTTGAGTGAGTATTTTCTTGGCTCCCAAGATTTTTTAACTTCTTGGTCATAAAAGACAAAATGAAAATATATATATGTGTGTGTGTATATTTGTGATGACCATGAGGATTTGTTTGCAGGTTGATAGATTAACATTGAGACTTGTATAAGGCAGGGATGGGACGGGGTGAGTTTTGTATTCTCTATTCTTTGTCTGTATCACATCGGGAATAGGATAAGGGATTGATTAATTTTATAATTTAAAAATAAAAATATTAATAAAAATTATAAATAATAGTATAATATAGAAAGTGATTTATAATTAATGAAAATTAAAAAATATAAGATAAGAAATAAATGAGTAAAAATGAATGTTAAGTGTAATATTTTAGATTTTAGATTTACCATAATGAAAAAAATTTAAATATATATTATATACATGTAGATACATTTAGTAAATATAAATGAAACTGGGGCTAGAGAAGTAAAACCCATTCTTACCCTACTCTCTCAATGAGGCAGGAAAAACCTGTGCAAGGCATGACAGGAGGAAAATGGTCATTCCGTCACAAGGTTAACTAAAAACAATTAACTTTAGGAACACTCAGATAAAATGTAAATTTGGATATGGAATTCTAAAAAATGGGCTACATTAACAAATCGAGTAAAATTATATCCATTTATATGAAGGCTGAAAGCAGCTTGCAAGCTAGTTTATTGATTTTTTGACTTATTTGAGTCATATCATTTCTCTGTACTTTTTGAATGTCTTTTTGTAATAAGCAAAAAAACTAATTTATTTGGCACTTTGTGTGTGTGTGTGTTGTTTCCATGTTAATAGTTGGACTGTTCGAGAGCTTATTTAGCATGTTGGATATTAACACTTTTTTTTTATAATCTTTTTTGAGTCACATCACCTTTTTATTTTTTTACATATATTTTCATAAAAAATTAAAAAATATACCACCTTTAAATCAAGATAAATCATTCAATATTTCTGAAACAAATTTATATGGTGCTTGAATTTGGTAGTTAGTGGTTCACCACTTTTTGTTCGTGTTTTAAAGATATGGTATAGAGTATTGATCCAAAAACACCAAATAAAATTTCTTAAATAAATCCATCCATAACAGTGGTGGTTTACTAAAAAATTGATAAGGAAAATTATATTGTATGATTAATAATATCAATTCTATTATTAAGTAGTAGAGATGGCAAAATTTCTCAACCTAATTGTATTTGACTAAATTTATTTTTAATTAAAAAAAAAAGTTTGGGAGGGTATTAATAGAATAGGGCCAATTATAAAAATATACAAGTCAAAATTGCCAAGATTTTGGGTTAAAAATTTTGAAATTATATCATCAAAAATAATTATATTTAAAATTGAGAATTCACATGTAAAACTCAAAAGTCCTCAACCTATTTCCATCCCTAAATAATACCATGAAAATCACTTCATTTTTTACATATAATTTTACTCATTCAAAATTTTTCCATGTCTGAATCTAAAAAGTTAGAATTGTCTTGATGCATACTACACAGAAATAGAAATATCTAAGACATCCCCTACTCCATCTTATCAAGTCCTCTAAAACTACATGAAAACTCCATGCAACCACTATCATATATAATGATGTTTTAAATCAATTCAAAATTTTACAGCTGAAATATATTAAATCATGTTCATTTGAAAATTTTACAGGTGAAATATATTAAATCACGTTCGTTTGAAAATAAATGATGACTAACTTAGTGTATGTAAGTTTTTGATCAGCGGAAAATATCATGCAAATAATATTTCCATAATTCTTCAAAAGTATCTAATAATCGTCTCAATAATAGACAATAGTAAACTAAGTAAAACAAACTTCTACGTAAGCATTGGTTGTTTTTTTTATTAGAACAAAAATTTGGTTATGGTTGATGTGTTTTATTATAAGTTTGAAGTTGTTAATTAGAAATTTATTATTAATTTAAGGTTGTTTGGAGTGTCCTAAATAAGTACACTTTTTGACTTTTTGGACTAAAAAGTTGAAGAAAATAATATGGTTGTTTGGGTTAACTTTTTGATTTTTTATGAAAAAATGTGTATTAAAATATTGTATAAATTAGTGTGTAGTTAGAGTGTAGCAGAAGATTAGAGGGTGACTGTAGACACCCCATTTTTTACCGCCCTTAAAACTTGGGCACTACTGATGGTTTACGTGGTGGAGAAAGTTGAGCAGGGCAAAGGTTCAATTTCTTCGGCAAAAGGAGAGTCAAACCCTAACCTCACACCCCATTTCTTGATCAAAAGATTTTAGATATTAAAACCATCTCTTTTGAAATATTTCTAAAATAAAGTTCCTACAATGTCTCGAGGCTCACATTTTGTTAAATGTCGCGCTTTTCGGTAAACCGAACCAGGACAAAGTGGAAATGAATGAAAGAGAGATGGAATCTTTGAAAAATCTTTCAAAACAACTTGCTTAGGGGTTTGAAGTTGAGGAAAATAGGAGAAAATGGGAGAAATCCAGTTGGGGGAGAAAATGAGCATGAACCGTTAAGAGAGAGTCGAGCAACCCTCGCTGAATCGGGCCTATTCATTTGTACACTTGGATTTAAGATATGAGGCCATTACCATTGGAAAGGAGACTTCCGGATTCCAAATTGAATACATGTTAGTTGTAGCATTCATATGACATGTTTAGAATAGCCGAGCCTGCTATAGTTTGCATTTTTGCATGTGTTGCATTAGGCATTTCTGTATACTTAGGATCATGCATGATTTCTAATGTAATCTCTGTTTTTGGCTTGGAGTACTCGGTAAGCTTTATGCTTTAGCATCCTTGCATGCGTGAATGCCATGATAGCATGCTTACCATGAGGCTATGTGCTTATCTGATATATCTGCCTGAATGCCTGTGGGTGAAGGTTGGGATATCTGAATTGGAATGAATCATCAAATGTTTCAAGCCTACCTGCGGGTAGCAAACCCTTTTCAAAAACAAACATGAAATGTTTTGTTCCAATTTGGGCGACCCGATCTATACTTATATGCTGTGAGCATCACATAGTAACCTAGGCTAATAACCGGAATAAGAACTCACAATGTTTTCAAAAATTGATATCATGGTTAGTAGAGGCCGGTCTATGACCGGGCGAGCGGGGGTGCTCACGAAGTGACCTTCCCCAATCGTACCCAAGTTCCCGAGCCGAGGCAACCTTTGGTGATGACGGACGCGTGGCCTTTTGGCACCGAGTCAGGGTTTCCTAAATTTCCCAAAATAAAATATTTAGGTGGCGACTCTGTATCTGGCAAAGCAGTCCATGTTTGGCACTTCTTTCAAAAATCAGTTTTCCTAAAACGATTTGCCGGATTTGGACTCTTTGGTTCAGATTTAGAACCGTGACTGCGAAAGTCGAGTCCGAGCTGTAGCGAGGTCCCCCGCGGGCTTGTTACAATATGATATTTTATACAAAAACTTACAACTCTTAACCAAACACATAACTCAAAATTCTATTAAAGCTCATAATTTTTTTTAAAAAATTCAGAAAATATTTTGTATTGAATATATAAAAATTAACATGTGTCAATTGAAAAAAAATAAAAAATAAAAAATAACACTGTTCCTGTCAACCGGCCGGACGTCCGGTGG